GTGCAGCAGCTGCACCACTAATAGGTGAGGTGGGCGCGGCAGCACGCCTGCGGGGGCAGTGCGGCCGGCCGCCACACAGCAGGCCGACCATCCGCAGCCAGCGGGCGTCGCAGGCGCCGCCGGCCGCCGACAGCTGCGGACACAGACAAAACCACGGCTGTGTTAGCTACTGTCGATAGCGTCATGGGCAGCGAGGGCTGGAGAGGAACGGTGAGGTGACCCCCGCTGGCTAGTTTACTGTTACACCGTGCGATCAGGCATTACACAGAAGCATGGTAAAAATGCACGTCCCTAATTAAACGCGTCGACTGTAGCTAGGTAATATCTGTCATTGGACTAATTAGTTATACCCGACGCTTGTCAGGTATTCAGTGCCAATAGGTAATGCTTGTGATTCAGCGATTACCACCTAACTTCCTGTATATTTTCCACAAAACATTCTATCCTCAAACCATTACAATGTGACCGCGCGTGACCGTACCGTACATAGGCGGCGGAACGGGGAGGGCACCGTCCGGGGCACTGTGCCCCCTTTGATTTTGGCATTTTAACATTAACCCTATGGGCGTTGCATGGAAAGAATGGGACCAAAAGTCGGTGGTGCCCCCTTAATTGAAGGTGTTCCGCCGCTACTGGTACCGTACCCACTTTCCCGTCCGGGTCCCACGACTGACCTTCCACCGTTTACCCTGCTGCGAGCTCAGGTCAGCCCGTCCGGTGGTCAGCGGCTGCCTCTGCGGCCCGTGGCGACTGTGACTCGCAGGCAGTCGGTAGCTGGACGGGGACGGAGGATCGGACGGCGCGCCCCGCTCGCAGCAGAGGATGTTCAGCTTCTTCATCAGACACGTGCCTGCGCGCAGAGGTTAGGTAGGTTACAGGGAGGGCCGCGCCGGGACATCGCAAATCGCAATACATTTCGCTGCGATGCCACGCATTACCCACCGGTCTGCTGACTTGCCCACATGGTGGTGTGCTCAGTGCCGAGCTTGTCGACGCAAAAATAAAGTTCACCGTGAAACTGGTACTGCGCAGCTGCTGAGATTTTAAATTATCACACTAGAAATGTTTCGAAGTGGTTCCAAAAAATGTTAACACCTACGCCACCGTTTACGCTCCTACGTCACCGCGCGTTCCCACGCCGTTGTTACCTGTGTGTTTCCGGGCGGGGGGCTCGGCCGGGGGCGGGGCGGCGCGGCACCAGAGGCCCGCTATCTGCCCTGTGCCGGCCGCACTGATCAGCAGCTCCAGCAGAGCCAATAACAGCCGGGACGGCGGCTTGGTGTTAAACACCTCGTGCACGACGGGACAGAGAGCCTGGAATCTGCGGGGACAGAGAGGGCGATTATTCAGTGCATGAGGTCAGAGCCTGGTCATTGGAATAAGATAGTGCATATGAAAAATTCAACGTATACGGCTGCAAACAACAACGCAAGTAAAAGTAGGTACCAGCAATAAAATGAAATACGGAAACAAGCAATAAACGCCTACGCCGGAATGCACACTAGACCGTTCGAAAAAAAAGTTATGAAGACGGAAACCATTCAAATAGATGCCATACCTAGTTATGCGGCGTTTGAAATCAGTGAATGGCGAGACTTGGTTCACAGCGTCAGTCCTTCCATTGGAATACGTACAGTTCGTCCGGGAGGGTGTCGCCGGCCATCGTCGCCAGCAGGACGGCGGTGTGCTCCATAATGTGGGCATTCGTCACTTCACCCTGGAAAACATCGCGACATTTATCAGTCGACAATGCAACGAAAACAGCTACTTTAACCAGAATGCACAATACACATAAAAAACTAGTTTTTAGTGGTTCTTTCACGATACCAAAGATGAATGGCTTACAATGCATTGTTTAATCATAAAAACTAACAGAAACCATCCGTGAAACCATTCGCATATGCTTGATAAGATAACTGAACTAGGCGATTACGAAGCCGAGTACTACTGATCTAGGCAATGACTGGTACTAAGTTGGGCGAATATGACGCCTGACGGGTACTGACCTGGGCGATGACGGGTACTGAACCAAGGAATGGTGGGTACTGACCTGGGCGATGGCGGGACGCAGCAGACTGAGGGAACTCACCTGGGCGATGGCGGGCCGCAGCAGTCGCGGCAGCAGCTCGGTCAGCGGCCGGTCAGCGGCCAGCCGCGCTGCCAGCGGCGCCGACCACTCGGCCAGCCGTCTGAGGGCGGTCAGCGCAGCCACGGCGGCCGTCTCCTCCTGCTGGAGAGCCTGGCGGGCCGCCGTCCGACGCCGGCCAGAGCCCAGCGTGCACACCTGCCTGGCAAAGCACAAACAGACAGCAAATATGTCAGGACAGTGAGAGGTGTCATAATGTCATGGAAGGCTCACTCACGGCTCCCATCAGCATTATGCTAATCGAGTCAGCCGAGCCCAACACAGCAGCTTTTAGATCGTCCAAAAGGGAAGCTCCGTGATCTGCAGCTGAGACACTTCAGTGGACTACTAGAAAAGGTCTGAATTATGGCCAACTCCCAGTCCTAATTACCACCCGGATTCCAATATATTCCGAGTTCTAAGGTCATCATTTCATGTCGTATTTCAACCCCGCTTTTCTAATTCACACCAACTTGACCGTTATCCGCAATATCCGTTTGACCAATATGACCGTTAGGAGTTAGGACCAACAGCCCCCGGCTCTCCATCACACCTGTCGTCAGCCCGGGTCGCCCGCAGCCGCTCCACGCTGTCTGAGAACGCGGCGAGCCGGCCGGTGGCGGCGGCGGCCAGCCGGTGGGCCGCGCCACTGGCCCGCTGCGGGTCCGGGTCGGCCAGCTCAGAGAGAGCGGCGCCGTCGAGCCAGCGGCAGTCGGCGCAGGCCCGCAGCACGGACAGCACCAGCTGGTGGGCGGCCACCTCGTCACCGTCTGTGTGGAGAGAGAAGGAGATACAGTCACCATCTATACACACAGAGAGAGACGGCCACATCGTCATCGTCTGTACGGAGATGGAGATACAGTCACCATCTATACACATACACGGAGACACGGCCACCTCGTCACCGTCTGTACGGGGACACAGACCGTCATCATCTATACACACACACGGAGACACGGCAAACCAGTCGCCAAACCAGCCTACGCACCTAGTCTCTCTTCACTGCATCGACGCCAAATGACGCATCATCGACCGGTGATCGCTAGCTAGGTACCTAAACACTGAGCACAACGCTCTTCAGCCCGCGTCTTCTCGGTAATTTCAACTGCATATCGACAGTAACACCCATCCGCCGCCAGCAGAGCCCACACTTCGACAGCTGTTTCCAAAGGAAAGCAGTTACTCCCATACGCTGATAGCGATAGGTATTGCGTCCTTAGCTGTGTTCGTACCTGGCTGCGACTCCTCAGGGTCCGGATCCGTCTGAGTGCCAGACGTCTCGGTCCGCGCTGCAAACTTCTCCGGTCGGCGAAACTCCGAGCTGAAAAGAAAAAGTACACAACCATTTTCGAGAATACATTAAAATGTCCCGCAGCGAAAAAAATGTTCCAGAAATGTTAAGCATATGCTAAGACATACGAACGGCAGCGCTTCATAGTCGAATGAGTAATCTAAAACAGAGCCACCCCAGTAGGGGGATGACCCAGACGAGTAGTCTGACCTGGTGACGAAGCGGCGAGCGGCGGCGAACGACTGGTCGGCGGAGTCGAGTCGCGGCGCCTTCCGCGGCGGACTGGCAGCGCGTCCGGGCGAGTCGCGCAGAGCCCGATACTGGCGGGTGACCTCGGCAAGCTCGTGGCTCTGTGGACAACACCGGCCCGTCAGTAGTCGCGACAACGGCATCGAGAAGGTAGGATCGTGACGTCCGGGCACACGCTACAAACAAATCTGCATTGCAGGGCAATGATGCAGTTGGTGAGTATGAAGGAAAACTAAACAAACACAAACACGGACTCTGGGAACTGGGAAGCCAGAATCAGTTGTCAATTTCTAACCGACGCTCATCGCTACATCCAAGACCCTAAATACAGCTACATCTACGACTAGATTGTCCTTCATCGCTGCACTGTGCCGACCTTGAACTGGAGCTCTGTGCGGAGCGTCTCCAGTTCCTTGTTGAGCGCCGCCGTGCTCTGCTCCAGACAGGAGTGCTGCTCCTGCAGCTGGCGCGAGCTCTCCAGGCGACAGTTCTCCAGCTCCCGACAGCGCCGTGTCAGCTCCTCCCGCAGAACAGACACCTGGCCAACGGCACAGAACACATCCCGTAAATAGACACAAAGACAACGTGCAACAGGCATGACGGTAGGGTGAGCCTAACAGGCAAATCTTTATTAGTTGACTGAGGGCCATACTATCAGTTTCATGATAATAGTCGATCGGGGTCGACAGTTCTGACTGGATTCGGAATCGGAGTCAATCTGGGAAGCCAGAGTCGGGGTTGGAGTTGCCGAAAATCCATCGACCCGCAGACCTGGCTGTTAGGGTTACGAAGGCAGAGTTGGAGTCCGTCAGAGTCGACAGTTCCGTCCAATTTGGAGTTGGGAGTCAATATTTGGAAGCCAGAGTCAGATCCAGATTCAGAGTCGGATCCATCGACTCCACAGGCCTGGTTATAACAAACTGCGGCTCACCTGCCCCTGCTGGGTGTACTTGTCGGCCTTTGCAGCGCGCAGCTGATCGCTGAGTGCCTGGTGGTCGCGCCGCAGCTGCTGCAGTTCAGACAGCGGCGCCGCGGGCTCCGGCGGCGGCACGCGGACGGTGCTGGGCGCCGCCACCGGCGGCTGCCGCTGTCCCCGAGCGCAAACGGCAATGTCAGACCAGTGGGCACGCGCATAACGAGCCAAAGTAACGGCTTAGGGGACAGACTGTCTGGGGGATCGGTCAGTTGAGAGCTCGGTTCATTGCAACTGTCTTCTGACTATCTATCCTGCTGTCAGTGACAGTGGCCCATTATAGGTCACATGAAGTCTGTGAGCCAGGTGCGCTGTTTCCAACAAAACATTCGACTCTAAATTGTAGCATTCTCGGAGCTTCTGGTTCAGTTAGTGACCATCAGGACCTCCACAACAAACTCTGCTCAACGTGAATAGGTCGTTTAGTTTGGTGCTTAGCATAACAAATCCATTCATTTGAAATTATTATTTAGAATGCTGGCTGCTAAGGACATTAACTTCAAGCATATCATTAAAAACCAGACCAATGGCATGTTTTGAGAACAGGCGTCCTTGCTAAATCATCACTTTGACCTCAGCTCAACCTTCACCAGACCATGCCTTCAGAGGTCTTAGCATACCTTGCTGTGTGTTGATGGGGCTGGGACATGGTCCTCAGTCAGTGGCCTGGCAAGATGTTGCGACTCCAGCAGCATCGCCTCCTCAAGAGCATCTTCCGGCAGTTCCTCACCCCAGACATCATCATCATCTGGGATTGGTGGAGGAGGTGGTGGGGGCGGAGGAGCGGCTGCCACAAATGACAGCGGCTTTCGACCCCCAGTGTTGTTCCTCCAGTTACTCATCTATCTCAGAATGAATCTGTAGGAAAACAACATAATATTAGCAACATGTCTACTGGTTCGAGTTGTTTGCAAACCACAGCTGCCACATGCCATTGTTTGGACTGCTTTCGGTCTTGGTCTCGGGACTCGATGCTTCTTGAGAACCCTCCGGCTTTTAGAACAAACAGGAGTTTGGCCTATTAGATGAAATAACTGATTAAATGTGTGACTCTCAATGCTATTACTGCATGTTTAGGTTTATCATAGGCAGCAGTTTTTCATCATAGAGGTTAGGAAATTCAGAAGATTCTAGGTGCCAAAGCATAAATTTGTAAAGAACAAATTCATCTGGACCAGACTGTCACTAGGACCAGAAAACGGGCTATTTCCAATATTGCCGCCTTGACGTGCAGCCTCAAAATACCATTTTGATTCTATACTGACCCGTGACCAATTACTGGCATAAGAATCGTACAAATAAGAAACCCATTTGACACCTGATAAACAAAAACTTCCACTGTGTAGGTGGCACAAAACATATAGATTGAATAAATTCACAGGCTTGCGGTAAAATTTTAGTATATTTGCCAGAACTAATTTCACGCTGGCATGGGGGACGCGCCCACAGCGAGCCCATTTTTTATGAGAAAGATAGCTTGTTGAACACTTCTTAGGCTTAATCTGCAGCTCAGGTATAAAACAACCAACAAATCTATTTTATTGTTTTGTAAATCCTTTTCCCACAAAACAAAATCAAAATTACACAGCTAGTAGCAGCCAACAAATTCAATTTTGAAAGCCGCGATTTTTAGTTGCGCCGTGACTGTGACAAGAGCGCAGAGTTCAAAGCCAAACAAGGTAAGAAATGCCCTCACGAAATAACTACTCGTGCCGCCACTGCGGGCGCCGAAAGAACATATCGAATGTTTTGTTTCAAACTGTTTGTTTTCTACGCAACAATATGATTAATTACAGCGCATTATGATTAATTCAATGTCTATTTTCTATAGTTTGCGGCCTGCCGGGTGGGGGGAGGGGGGGGAATTAGGGGCGGCACATGTCTCGCTTGAGTTCACTCTCAGTCCGTCCAAACTCTAAAAAAACGCTTGCATTTCGCTGTGTTATGCATTTCATCGGTTTGGTTTCCTATGAGTATACGACACGTTTTGAACCCGGTCTTGCTAATTATTTCTACATTGTCCACTTCGAGGTGTGTTTAACACTTTTTCCCAGTGGCGGCGGAAGCAGGGGGGCAAGGGGGCAGCTGCACCCTAAAGCTATGGAAAGGGGCGCCTCGAAATCTGTAGAGGAGGCAGGAAGTTAAGAGGTGCGGCAGCCATCATAAAGCTGAGCAGTGCGACACCGCAACTGACAAAGGCACTTGTGACACGAAGAGGGTGGTAATGACGTGGGAAAAGTATCTTTTGATATGCTGAAGAGTGGAGGGCATCCTTATCTGAAACAAAGGCAGATGCTGCCGACCCTGTCGAATATAATCTTGCCAGGCGATAAAGGCTAGGAGGGCGCAGCCACTCGAGAAGCGCGCCATGCGGAAGAGGGGCGCCTGCATGCGAAAGAGGGGCGCCTGTGTGTGGGACGAAAAAGAAACATTTATGGAGACATCTTTGAAGGCGATAGCCTCCGAACGCCAACGCGAACACATGAGGGCTTATAGCGTTGCAGGCTCCATGCGACAAAAAGGGGCGCCTGATGGCCGATATGCGAGAGGAAATTAGTTTGTGTAACATTTATCGGGGGCGGTTTGCCGTTTACAACATATGAATGTTGAGGGAGGTCCGAGATTGGGGCCTGTAAAATTGCACTGTCCGTATGGGCGGTTACACCCCTAGTGCTAGATGTCCGTCAAGACAGCCCATATTCAGCCCAGATTCAGCCCGGATTCAGCCCAGATTCGGGACACCTCCGATCAAGCTGAAACTCGCACACAATGTAGGCCATGACAAGCCCAATCCACAGTCTAAGTCATTCGGTGGCACTCCCAGCCGTTTGACCTACAGAGGTCAACAAAGGTCACGTAGCCCAAATTTGCACAGCAGATTGTGGCCCACCCAGTAGAGCTAGAGCGCTAAAATGGCACCAATCGACTCGCCAGCATCTAATCTTACTTTCCCAACACTCATTTGACCTCTCAAGGTCATGCGATGACCTAAGGTCATTTGTGGGCTATGTCGCAAATACACTTGCACAGCAGTTTTCGAGTAGATGGATTGACCGAATTCCAAATCAAAGCACATGATCGGGTAGCCCATAGGCCGTAGTAACTTTCCTTAAAAACCGCTTTTCGATATGTGACCCCGTTTGACCTCGGCAGGTCAAAATCTGCAAATAAACGACAATCAATACGTCGCAGCCCGATTCAGCCCAGATTCGGGACACCTCCGATCAAGCTGAAACTCGCACACAATGTAGGCCATGACATGCCCAATCCACAGTCCAAGTCATTCGGTGGCACTCCCAGCCGTTTGACCTACAGAGGTCAACAAAGGTCACGTGGCCCAAATTTGCACAGCAGATTGTGGCCCACCCAGTAGAGCTAGAGCGCTAAAAATGGCACCAATCGACTCGCCAGCATCTAATCTTACTTTCCCAACACTCATTTGACCTCTCAAGGTCATGCGATGACCTAAGGTCATTTGTGGGCTATGTCGCAAATACACTTGCACAGCAGTTTTCGAGTAGATGGATTGACCGAATTCCAAATCAAAGCATCATCGGGTAGCCCATAGGCCGTAGTAACTTTCCTTAAAAACCGCTTTTCGATATGTGACCCCGTTTGACCTCGGCAGGTCAAAATGTGCAAATAAACGACAATCAATACGTCGCAGCCCGGATTCAGCCCAGATTCGGGACACCTCCGATCAAGCTGAAACTCGCACACCGTGTAGGCCATGACATGCCCAATCCACAGTCCCAGTCATTCGGTGGCACTCCCAGGCGTTTGACCTACAGAGGTCAACAAAGGTCACATGGCCCAAATTTGCACAGCAGATTGTGGCCCACCCAGTAGAACTAGAGCGCTAAAAATGGCACCAATCGACTCGCCAGCATCTAATCTTACTTTCCCAACACTCATTTGACCTCTCAAGGTCATGCGATGACCTAAGGTCATTTGTGGGCTATGTCGAAAATACACTTGCACAGCAGTTTTCGAGTAGATGGATTGACCGAATTCCAAATCAAAGCACATGATCGGGTAGCCCATAGGCCGTAGTAACTTTCCTTAAAAACCGCTTTTCGATATGTGACCCCGTTTGACCTCGGCAGGTCAAAATGTGCAAATAAACGACACTCAATACGTCGCAGCACGGATTCAGCCCAGATTCGGGACACCTCCGATAAAGCTGAAAATCGCACACAATGTAGGCCATGACATGCCCAATCCACAGTCCAAGTCATTTGGTGGCACCCCCAGCCGTTTGACCTACAGAGGTCAACAAAGGTCAAATGGCCCAAATTTGCACAGCATATTGTGGCCCACCCAGTAGAGCTAGAGCGCTAAAAATGGCACCATCGACTCGCCAGCATCTAATCTTACTTTCCCAACACTCATTTGACCTCTCAAGGTCATGCGATGACCTAAGGTCATTTGTGGGCTATATCGAAAATACAGTTGCACAGCAGTTTTCGAGTAGATGGATTGACCGAATTCCAAATCAAAGCACATCATGGGTAGCTCATAGGCCGTAGTAACTTTCCTTAAAACCGCTTTTTGATATGTGACCCCGTTTGACCTCGGCAGGTCAAATGTGCAAATAAACGACACTCAATACGTCGCAGCCCGGATTCAGCCCAGATTCGGGACACCTCCGATCAAAATGAAAATCGCACACAATGTAGGCCATGACATGCCCAATCCACAGCCCAAGTCATTCGGTGGCACTCCCAGCCGTTTGACTTACAGAGGTCAGCAAAGGTCACGTTGCCCAAATTTGCACAGCAGATTGTGGCCCACAAATGACCTTAGGTCATTGCATGACCTTGAGAGGTCAAATGAGTGTTGGGAAAGTAAGATTAGATGCTGGCGAGTCGATTGGTGCCATTTTTAGCGCTCTAGCTCTACTGGGTGGGCCGCAATCTGCTGTGCAAATTTGGGCCACGTGACCTTCGCTGACCTCTGTAGGTCAAACGGCTGGGATTACCACCGAATGACTTGGACTGTGGATTGGGCATGTCATGGCCTACATTGTGTGCGAGTTTCAGCTTGATCGGAGGTGTCCCGAATCTGGGCTGAATCCGGGCTTGACGAATTATTGAGTATCGTTTATTTGCACATTTTGACCTGCCGAGGTCAACGGGGTCACATATCGAGAAGCCGTTTTTAAAGAAAGTTACTACGGCCTATGGGCTACCCGATGATGTGCTTTGATTTGGAATTCGGTCAATCTATCTACTCGAAAACTGCTGTGCAACTGTATTTTCGATATAGCCCACAAATGACCTTAGGTCATCGCATGACCTTGAGAGGTCAAATGAGTGTTGGGAAAGTAAGATTAGATGCTGGCGAGTCGATTGGTGCCATTTTTAGCGCTCTAGCTCTACTGGGTGGGCCACAATCTGCTGTGCAAATTTGGGCCATGTGACCTTTGTTGACCTCTGTAGGTCAAACGGCCTGGGAGTGCCACGAATGACTGGACTGTGGATTGGGCATGTCATGGCCTACACGGTGTGCGAGTTTCAGCTTGATCGGAGGTGTCCGGAATCTGGGCTGAATCCGTGCTGCGACGTATTGAGTGTCGTTTATTTGCACATTTTGACCTGCCGAGGTCAAACGGGGTCACATATCAAAAAGCGGTTTTTAAGGAAAGTTACTACGACCTATGGGCTACCCGATGATGTGCTTTGATTTGGAATTCGGTCAATCCATTTACTCGAAAACTGCTGTGCAAGTGTATTTGCGACATAGCCCACAAATGACCTTAGGTCATCGCATGACCTTGAGAGGTCAAATGAGTGTTGAGAAAGTAAGATTAGATGCTGGCGAGTCGATTGGTGCCATTTTTAGCGCTCTAGCTCTACTGGGTGGGCCACAATCTGCTGTGCAAATTTGGGCCACGTGACATTTGCTGACCTCTGTAGGTCAAACGGCTGGGAGTGCCACCGAATGACTTGGACTGTGGATTGGGCATGTCATGGCCTACACTGTGTGCGAGTTTCAGATTGATGGGAGGTGTCCCGAATCTGGGCTGAATCCGGGCGGCGTCGTATTGAGTGTCGTTTATTTGCACATTTTGACCTGCCGAGGTCAAACGGGGTCACATATCGAAAAGCGGTTTTTAAGGATAGTTACTACGGCCTATGGGCTACCCGATCATGTGCTTTGATTTGGAATTCGGTCAATCCATCTACTCGAAAACTGCTGTGCAAGTGTATTTTCGACATAGCCCACAAATGACCTTAGGTTATCCCATGACCTTGAGAGGTCAAATGAGTGTTGGAAAAGTAAGATTAGATGCTGGCGAGTCGATTGGTGCCATTTTTAGCGCTCTAGCTCTACTGGGTGGGCCACAATCTGCTGTGCAAATTTGGGCCATGTGACCTTTGTTGACCTCTGTAGGTCAAACGCCTGGGAGTGCCACCGAATGACTAGGACTGTAGATTGGGCATGTCATGGCCTACACGGTGTGCGAGTTTCAGCTTGATCGGAGGTGTCCCGAATCTGGGCTGAATCCGGGCTGCGACGTATTGAGTGTCGTTTATTTGCACATTTTGACCTGCCGAGGTC